TATATGTATATTCAACTATTAAATAAAAGAAATAGAGGATAGACCTCTCTTTAAAAAAAAAAAAAAAAAAAAAAAAATTTAGTAGAAGAAATTAATTTGATTAGCAATGACAAGTGTCAAATTAATGAAAATGAATATAGGTATAGTAGTGAAAGCAAAAATAATTATATTAATAATAACAAATATAATAATAGTGATGATGATGATGATTATGCTAGTAAAAATAGTAATTTTGATATTAGCAATGATAAGGATGGCTATTACAATGAGAAGAAACTGATTATGTTAATAAATGAAGCTAAGTATCATAAGTAATAAATTTAATTTTATTAATTTTATTAATACTGATATGTAGTATATTAATTTATTAAAATTTATTTATTTATTTTTTTTTAATTTAGATTTATACACAAAGAATTGTTAAATTTCAGCTATGACTTTAATGCATATAATCACTAGTAATTTGAATGCAATTTAATAAAGCATACAAGTTCAAATTGCAAAGCCTTTAAGCTTTGCTCATGCTTTGCTAACTAAGTTTATTATTATATTTTATTTTTACGTATTATAATAACTAAAATTTTTTAGTTATATAAATAAATTGCACTATTATAGTTAAGCAATTACAGAAATTTTAATTCTTAATAAATTAATATTGTATAAAATATAAATTATGAATTATACCTGAGTCCTTTTTACAGGGGTATTGTAATAAGTATACCTGAGTATTATTTCATAATTGCAAATGCAACCCTGTGAATTGTATCTAGGTCTTTTCTATTAGGGGTATTATAGTGAGGGATACTGTAGTCAGTGCTGTGTAGTACTTCAAACTCAGCTCTACCTAATCTGTATATTAATTCACACTAATTAACTAAAATATTCTATATCTATAAATCTGAATATATTTTAATTTCTACAGTACTGGACAGTAAGAAATATCTACTTTTTTATAGATGCGCCAAATTTAGCCCAGTACCGGACAGCAAAAAACATCTAAATTTTTTTATAAAGGTGCCAAATTTATTTATAGTAATACAATTAATGATTGGTTAATTGCTTCTTGCGTGATAAACCTTACTTATATTTCACATATCACGAAATATGAGATAACCTTATACAGGACAAAATTAGATTAGAATTATACCCTGTGCGCTATATTAGAACTTGTACCTGCCAAGAAATTTTTTACCTGAGTACTATTAAATTATCCGGTTATCCAGGTAATTTATTATGGCTATTTAATAAAAATACAATCTCTACACCAGAAAAAATATAATAAACTAGTATTTTATTAAAATCATTTACTTGTTACAAAAATTTCTTTATTAAAAATTTATTTTGTATGAGAATAATATTAGCATTTTACTTATTTTTATTTGTAAAGAAGTTTAATTAGATTTTAATAAAGATAGAGGCATGGCCTCACATTTGAAGATTAAAAAAAAAAATATTAGTATTTTACATATGGTCACATCACATCACTATTCAGAATTAGAGATTTTCTCATGCTAAAAAAGCCTGTAGACATTTGTGCTTTATATAAACCATGTAATAAATTAATAAATTCATTAATTATGTCACACAAGATATATATTTTCGCAACCTTGCATAAAATTGACAGATGAAATAAAACCTTACTTATTTCTATCTATAATTTTAAAGGCTTCCAAAATCTCTACTATTTGGACTGATTTATTTTATTTAAAACAATACCAGTCAACTTATATATAATATATCGACCAGGAGCTAAAATATTTAGCATTTATAATTGATAATTTTTTTAAAGCAAAAAAATAAAAAAAAAAAATAACAAAAAAAAAACAAAAATAAAAATAAAAAAGAACTAAAAAAAAATAAAAAAATAAAATAAAGAAAAGTAAGAAAAAGAAACAAAAAAAAAAGTCAAAAAAACCACACTATATAATATGTTTAAATAGAAAATAAAATAAGTATTTGACTCCTTTTACTTTAAAAACTTGTTAATTTGATTTATAACCTCTTCATTAATTGATCTATGTTTTCTATTCTCTCTAACAGCATATTCTGCCATTTTACTCATCAATCTATGTTGATAAGCATCCATTCACCTATAAGATAGCCTAGTGAAAGAAAGGATTCTTTCAACAGAAATGGAATCGAAAGCCTGATAAATTAATTCTTTAGTTTTGGAAGTGAATATTCACAATAAGCCCAAGTATACTTCATAGCCATTCCTCAGTACATTTCTATGTAATTGAACTCAGGGTGAAACTTAGGATAGAATAAAACCTTATGTCTATAAAATTCAATTTCTTGTTGAATTTGGCCGTGCTGTTCAAGAAAATCTGGCTGATTTGAAATTAACTGACATGCACAGCAATCAATAATGTTTGGAATTGAATCTTTTTTTTTTACACAAAGCACAATCGAGCACCATTCTGTCTTTCTATAACCCTCTTTCATTAAGAACCCATTAGATTTCTTTAGATTGTTCACGCAGATTAACATATGACTTTGTTTTTTTATCATAAATAAAATAATTGTTCTCAATAATCATTGATTGATGATTACTATTCCACGTTGTATTGTGTATTTTCGGAACTAATCCACCTGGTCCAAGGTTTATTTTTGAAGCTACAAGAGCATTTTCAGAAAAAGCTTTATGGGATGTAGCATTATCAAAGAGAAATATACCAACACACCCTGGATATGTCTGTTCAAAAATTCTAACCGCCCATCTAACTTGCTTGAGAAGTTTTTTGAAATCCTAATAACCATCGCGATTAGAACCCAAAATCTACATATTAAAAATAAAAAAAAATTAAAATCAAAGTAAAAAATAAAATAAATTATAAAAAAAAATTAAAATTATATTGTTTTTTTTTTAATTTTTAATTTTTTCTTTTTTTTAAAATTTTTTTTTCTTTCTTTTTTTTTTTTATTTTTATTTTTTTTTTTTTACTTTTTTTTCTTTTTAATTTTAATTTTCTTTTTAATGTCTTAAAAGATAATCTTAAAAAATTATCTTAAAAAAAATTTTCAAACTATCATAACACGCGTTTCTTCTTGGTTATTTTTAAGCAGCCCAATAGTTTTTGTCAAAAAATCACTTATGTGAATAGCAGAGCCTAACTCTTTTTCATGCAATGGCTGTTCTTTTTCTGGACCCCACACAGAATGAGGACCATCATAGGTATAGAAGGTAGTCTCATCGTGAATTATCCATACGTGCTTCTTTTCACCACTTTCTAAATCTGGATAGGCTCTTATTCTATATTCTGGGTCTACTCACTTAGACATAAGTCATTCAAACTGAGCAACTTCTTGAAGGAATGTTTGATGATATTTGACAACATCAGGACGTTCATGTTTATCGTATATATACTTTTTTTATAACGCTGATAACAGAATCTAAGTTTGTGCATCTATCTCTGGGCAGTATGAACCGAAATGCCTTGCACAGATTCAATATTCAACTTGGGAAGGATTGTTTGTTCAAAATAGTCCTTAACCAAAATAGGATCTATCTTAAACTTCTGGGAGCATAAATAAGTAGCCAACTCGAGAGAAACTAACTCGTCATGAAGCAGGCTTTTTAAGGAGGACCTTCCTCAGAGGTTTGATTGAATTAATTTCTTTTTCATACAGACATTCGCCTACTTTCTTACACACTTAGCAAGCTATGGCCCATCATTAATAACATCAGAAACTGCTTTCACTGTATCCATTTTTTTTGCTCTTTTAGAAGCAATTTATAGAAGTAGATCACCACTGTATAACATGCCTTTTTAGTTTTGGAAAGCATTTCTTCTTTCATTACTTCGTCGACAAACTCAATTGCATTATAGATTTTTTTTGTTTTTTCATCCAATTCTTCATTTAGGCCTCCATCCAATTCTTCATCCAAATTTTCCTCATCCTGTTAATTAACATAATTACCCCTATGCCAAATACTAATTTTTCTTAATACAGCCTTCTTATCTGATAATTTTGACTTTGAAAGTCTTCAGCATCCTCATCGTGATCAGTGGTCAAAAGTTGATTGTTAAAAAAATGTGTAATTTTTAAACTTCTTCTTGCTGCTTCTCTAAATATTTTATTTTTTTTTGTTGTGTCCATTTAGAATTTCCAATATATATACAAGGAAGGTTTTTTTTTCGATGCTTGCTGCTGAAGCAGCAAGAAGTCACTTGATGATTGAATTTGCTTGGTTATGGTCATTTGGCTTAAAATTCTTATCTGAACTTTCATCTGAATTACTACTGAAATCAACATACTCTTTACTTGAATCAAGGTCAACATAATTTGTAAACACAGAACGAGCTACCTCAGCTCTTTTTTTCTGTAACTTTTTAATGTTTGCAAGTTTGGGCATTGTAATGAGAGATAATAATAGAATTCATGATTTTTTTTTTGTTCGATTTTTCATTTTTACATTGCGTTTTTATTATATCAGAGTTTATGAAAGAAAAATACCTAATAATCTAAAGTTTATGATAAGTAATAATTGCTATGAAACAGGACTAAGGATTAATATTTCATATTCATTATTTAAAATTGGCTGGTATGTGGGATGAAAGATCCAACTTTCTCATATAATTGCTTGCCTATTTTATATAGGACCAATCCACTTGATTTACTTGACGACAATGGGAAAAATTATGATTTTTAAATGTATTAAGTTACGCCTTTACCTTCTGTGTAATATTGTATAGACAAAATAACACTAGTACATACGCATAACATGCTGGTTTCTTGGACCTCACACAATTGAAGATATGTATGTACATACATATGTACTAGCATGTGAGTTTGTTATTTTTGATTGATCTTTTTTAGAATAAGATGCTAACCTTTATTTTTTTGCCTTTATATCCATTTTCATTTTCTAACCTGATTTAACTTCGTTATTACATCATTATTTTTATGACACACATGATCGTAGTTACAATTGGGATCTCTTGTAGCATAGGCGACCTTTTAATGAAATGTATTGTTGGTCGATTGATTATAAGTAGTCATCTATGCTGTAAGAGATCCCACAATAGTAATTCATATTATAAGCTTATGTATAATCATTATACACTTTATTTGCATAGTTTCCTTTATGCACTGTAAAAAATATCTTGCATATTTATTTTATACAACTAGGATTGTGTTACAAAAGTTGATATGTTTAATTTGGTTAATACTACTTTAATTTATACTTATTTTACAAAATAGAATCAATCAACTCTCTCCGACGATCACTCGTACCAAACTTACGGCTAACAAAAACAGAAACTTGTTGGAGAAAAGTAGAAGAGACAACTACAAATA